TGGAACTGGAGATGGACAGCTGTTAGTCGCCATGTTGGTGCTGGGAATTGAACCCAGGTCTGTTGCAAGAGTAGTCAGTGCTCTTAACCACTAAGCCATCTCTCCAGCCACCTCTGCTCACTTTTTCTGTAAACCCCAAACTAAGTTTTAAAGATAAATCCTATCCATTAAAAAAAGCAAAGTGATCAGAGCTGTAGAAATAAGAGTAGATGACAGTATTTGCACAATCGTTAGATGTCCCCATGCCCTACAGACATGAAAATGTGACCAACAACAGGGCTGCTTTGGCTCTGGAGAGCTCCTGCCCAGCAGGACCCTGTTACCCTGTAAAAGCCTGTCAACACTGGGAAGAACTGGTGTTCTGGTTCCTGTCTTCCTGGCTTCCCCAGATTTTGACCTCCAGATCCTATTGATCCTGTTGCTCTGGCAAACCTGACTGACTACAAAGGGCAGTTTTCTTGGTGCCTCAGTTTCCCCCTATATCAGTGAGGGGTGCCAAGCCCCACATGCTCACATATGGGCCATCCCTCCCCTTCACTAGCAGAGGGAGCTTTTGCCAAGAGGCTGAGGGCTGAGGTCCACATCTCCCCACCAGCCCCTTTGGTTAAGGCTGCCCTCCCAGCCAGAAAACAAGACTCTTGTTATAAAGCCAAAACCCTGTCCCCATTAAATTCCAACTCCCCTTGACTTCTCCAGGCCCTGGCAGCCACCACCAGGCTTTCCACCTCTATGACTTTGACTCCTGGAGTGCGTAGAATCAGTTTGTTTTTTCATGCAGTCACGAAGTTTTTTTTCACGCTTACTGTCCTAAGCACGATGGATATAGTAGCATTTGTGTGGATTCCTGCCAGATCCTTGCTGGTTCTCCTGCCCCTTCACCCAACAGGGCGAGAGTCTGCTCTCCAGGAAGGAGGCGCGCTGCCCTTGTCCCGCCTTCAGATCAATTAGGGTGGGCACTGGTGCCGCCGGAGAGGTGGAGAGCGGAGAAAAAAGGGGAGAGGATCTTTGCGGTGGAGTTCAGGCTGGGGCCAGAGAACAGGGGAGGCCAATGCGGGGCGCCAGGCAAGAAGGGAGCCTGGGTCCGGTCCTGGGGAGCTTGGCCGCCTGGGTCCCGCCCTCGGGGGTCAGCTATGGCTTGCGGTGGAGGAGCCACACCCAGGGCCCTCCTGAGGCTGCAGCATCTGCCGGAGCGTAGGGACACCCCCGTGGGAGGGGGCGGGCGCCAGGTCGGAGCCTGGGCCATGACACATCTGCCTGGGGCAGAGCGAGCGGACGGAAAAAGTGAGTGCGGGGAGGTGCGGCGGCCGCTTTACGGGAAAGCGGATGTGAAGTGCTGACTGGTCCCTGCTGCTCTCGGTTCTTATCTGAACAGGGGCTGCCGCTAGCGGTTGGCCTTGTCCGCCCTGCCAGCGCTGGCAGCCGGAGTCGGGCGGGTGGTTCAGAGGGCGACCACTTCCTCCCCGCCGCTGTGCCTCTTTTTGAAAATGTACTCCCGCGCGTTCTCCCTGTCCCTTCTGTATTTGTTTGAGCTCGTAGCAATATTCTTGCAACATATTCAAAGCGTATTAATCAGATTTTAATTCTGGTTTTCTTTCTTCTTTCTCTCTCTCTCTTTTTCTTTCTTTCTTTCTTCTCTCTCTTTCTTTCTTTCCCCTCTCTCTCTCCTCTCTCTCTCTCTTTCTCTCTCTCTCTCATTGCCGCCTTGTTATTTTTTGGCACGACCCTATCTTGGTTTTTGCCTTCAGACGCAGTGAGTTGCTGAGCTAGGAGCTGCTAAAGCTACGGATGATGGGGACGGGGCACTCCAGATTCCTATGACTAGGTTTGGGTGGTTGCAGACACAGCACTGTCAGTCCCGGTGCACCCCCCCCCCCCCCCCC